CTTTAGCTCTTCCGGCAGTATTCTTGACAGTGTCTCCAGCATCGCTCAGTTTTTCTTTAGCTCTTCCGGCAGTATTCTTGACAGTGTCTCCAGCATCGCTCAGTTTTTCTTTAGCTCTTCCGGCAGCATTCTTGACAGTGTTTCCAGCATCGCTCAGCCGTTCTTCGGCCATCTCCTTGTAACCACCCGCTTCTTCCAGGAGCTCTCCAGCCTGCAGGTACTTCAGATTAGCGTTCTCGATAGATGATTTCCAAAAGAATCTATACCGCGCATACGCCTCGTGCCAGAAATTAGAATGCCAATACGTAAAATTCTACTATGAAACCAATTACCTCGTCTCGAGCTCCTTCTGCGGCATTTCTTATGGAGTTTCCAGCTTGGTCCAACTTTTCTTTGGCCATTCCCCTGTAGTCTGCGTTGGCGATTTTGTCTCCGATCTCTCCAGCCTTGAAAACCACAATACTGAGCGTATCAGGAGCTATGGTACATTCACTTACTTTAGCTCTTGCCGCTTCTGCGGTATCTGCTATCCCTTCTCGGGCATCACTCATTTTTCTCTTTGCCGTTTTCACGCACTCGTTATCATTTACGTCGTCAAGGAGCTCTCCAGCCTTCAAGCATCACAAATTACTTTTCTCTCGTGTATTCTCTTTGAAAATTTACCTGTTCTTGAGCTCCTCCCGCAGCTCTTTTGACTTTTTCTCCAACTTCGCCCACCTTTTCTTCGGCCATCTCTTGGTAATCCGTTCCAGTGATTTTGTTTCCGATCTCTCTAACCTTTAAGAGAACAGCGCTATGGATACTGAAGTTATGATTCACTCACTTAGATTAGCTATGGTGATTCACTTACTTTAGCTATGGTATTGTGCGCTGCATCTGCCAACCACATTCCTGGTTCACTCAGCTTTTTCTTAATTTCCAGCAGTTTGTTCTTATATCGCTTCAAACGTACCCGTTTTCAGTTCCAACCTCTCCAGGTACGTTCGGCCCTTCAACATTAAAATTTAGAAAATCTGAGTGGATTATTTCTAGACGGATCTACACCTTATAGAGTACTAGAGGGCGCCACGAACTCCTTTCTTCAAAGAGTCAGTATGCTTAGCTCTATCTTCTATGCGGTACTCACCTCTTCTCGAGCTTCTCCTGCCAGCATTTCTGACCGTTTCTCCAGCTTGGCCCAGCCTTTCTTCGGCCATTTCCTTGTAATCACCATTGGCGATTTTGTCTCCGAACTCTCCAGCCTTCAAAACCAGTAGTTTTAAGCGAATTGAATTGAAAGCTATGGGCTACCACGGCGCACATCCGTTTTGGGAATCCCCGAAGGCGTGATAGCGGGCGTCGTATTGGGGAAGTGTTTTTCGTGATTGATTTTTGTTGTTCCAAGACGGTGGTAAAAAGCGTGGAAGTGAACAGGTGAACCTCCTCACTTTTGGGTAAAGAGCCGTTGTTTCTTCACGTAGGTGGAAAGAAAGTCGGTGCAGAATTTAAGAAAGTGCGTGAGCTACGACGTGTGGGGGGGAGCGGTCCCACTTCAGAGTGCGGGGGGGCGTCCCACCCCTAAGCATAAAGGGGGGGGGTACGTACGAACTCGACCAACGTCCCCAACCGATGATGTGCCCTATATGGTATTCTCACTTACTTTAGCTCTCGCTCTTTCGGCTGCTTCTCTCATGCCTTCTCCAGCTTCACCCATTTTTCTCTTAGCCGCTTGCACGTACTCGTTGTCATTCACATCGTCCAGGAGCTCACCAGCCTTCAAGCATCACCAATTAGAGCGCTCCGGTAGATAATTGTTAAAAAAATCTGTACCGTACGAATTCCACCCACCTCTTCTCCGCAAGCGATCTCCTGCCCGCATTCTGACACCGCTTGACCAGCTTGTCCAAGCTTTTTCTTCGCCGCCATTCCTTGTAATCCGTATTGTGTGATTATTGTCTCTATCTCTACTGGCCTTTGCAATATTCTCATTTTAAGTAAGGTGCTTGAAGCAGAGATACACTCACTAACTTTAGCTCGGGCTCTCCCTGCTGCATCGGCTATGCCTTCTCGTGCTTCATCCATTTTTTCCTTAGCGCTTCCACGTACTGGTTATCGTTCATCTTTTTCAAGTACTTTTTGGCCTTGAAACATAACAAATTGAAGTTTCTTGGTAGATTCTTTCCAAACTTTCCAAAAGCATCGGCTACACACCCACCTCTCCTTGGGCGTTCTCCGCACAGTCTCTAACGTCTTTGGCTTTTTTCTCCCTGTCTGCAACATTTTCCGTTGCTGTGTACATCTTGCTCCCAATGATGCTTTCTTTGAGGTCTGCAGCCTGAAAAGAGCCTACGCTTTAGAATATGCTATTTGCTCATCACCCTATATACATAAAGCGCTTCGTCGGTTTGTTTGTAAGTTTGTCTGTCGGAAATTCGGTTCAACCTGAAGAACGACTTGGAGAGGTCGGGTCAAGGTGGGGATGGGTAGGGCATGGGACAAGAAATAAAAAGCACACTTGACCTATGGGAAGCCCCGCCCACAGTGGGCGGGGCACTCGCCGAAAGTTTGGGGTTCCGCAGAAAAATGTTCATAATTCGCTTCCGGAGCAGCTAAGACAATTCCCGCGAACAAGTGTTCGCCTGTATTGGGTGCTCAGTCAACGAAGCAGGCCGCCCTTTTGTACCCCCCCCCCCAGGTGCCGACAAAAAATCGAAAAAGAAACCTCGTCAACACCCTGAACACAGACCCTCCCTTTAGCAGTGGGCGGGCCTGACGAGTTGTTGCGTGACGTCGCGCTGCCCAGAAATCTGATGCGACAGCTGCAATTGCACTTTAAAGGGAGCTCCGGCTGATCCCGAAACGCCTCGTCAACCGTTGCTCAGCGAACTTGTGATAATCGACTGTAACTTATTTATCGGCCGCCATATTTAAGGGTATGAAAGATGTCATCATCTTCGTCAAGACCTTTAGAGGCCGTTCCAAAAAGCACGAAGTCATTTTCAGGACCACTTGATCGCGGGGAGTGTCTTTAAAGATGGGGAAAAAAGGGAGTAAGGTTAGTAAGGAGTGGCCAGATTAACTGTGGCAGACACATCCAAAAATGTGTGTGTGTCTGGGCTATCTCAGGTGCGGCGGAAATACTGGCGACTATAGGGCACGCTCAAAGTGTGTCGAGACCCGCCCACAGTGGGCGGAGCTTGCCATCTCAGGGTATTCATTGAAGTTTGTAGCTCGGTTCCAGAACACTCCAGACACCGGGGAAAAAAAAGTGGACTAACTGTAAGGTCAGCAGAGACGCCGATGAGGATTGCGCGGCAAAAACTGGTGGTGAGCGCAGCCAGGCCAAAATAAGCGGTCTGTAAAACGCTTCCAGAGCACTCCGAAGACCGGAATAAAGTGAATTCATGTCGGCAAGGTGTCGCCGATTGCGAAATGTGGAATATGTGGAACACGTATTGTGGGCGGGGCCAGCACGAGGTGGGCGAGAGCCACATTCAAAAATTCTGCAGCAACGATTCACAGAACACTCCAGACACGCGCTCGAAAAAAAAGTGATTAAGGTTCAGCAGATAGCGGTCATCGCGTTGAAGATGTGGGCACAAATAATTTGGGCCGGGGGGGGCGTCTTCCTCTGAGGTGAGCAGGAGTCATGATGAAATATACTGTAAAATAGTTTCGGAGCCTCTAGACATCGCGAAAAAAGCGGATTCAGTACAGAAAGAAAAGGCGCGATATCAGTTCGGATCCAGAAATATGTGAAAAAAATACGCCGCGCTCAACAGGCCGCCCGCCCCCGGCGCAGTTGGGCTGTATAAGAGGGAGCGCCGACGTCAGCCGGCGAGCCGACTTGCCAAAATAATATAATAGGTTGGTGCATAAGTTCTAGCCCCGTGTTGATCCTTCCGTATTTCGTTTGCATGGATGTTGGTATATCTGCTCATTAACGTGTTCGCTGCCTGACGCACTAGCTATCACTCATCCACATTGCATTTGCAGGCCACAATGTCGCACAATTTCCACTGTGACAAAATGTACCTGCGCCACTTTAGCTGTGCATCTGTAAAATTTGGCGAAGCTAACCACAGAGGAAGTTCTCTGGTTTTACTTCACGATTCACAAAAGAAGTTCCCCTTTTTCAACTCGATTATCACTGGAGATGAGAAGTGGGTCCTCTACGATAACTCTGTGAGGAAGCGGCAGCTGCGCTGACAATAACGAAGACAATCCACAAGCCACCCCAAGGCCTAACGTTCACCCCAAAAAAACGTTTCTCCTGTCCTGTCGGTGGTCCAGAAGAGGCATGGAGCTGCTGGAGAAGGGACAGATTTTAGACGATGACGCTCACTGTTGAGATATTTACGAAAAAAATCGTGGCTAAGAACTTATGCACCAAAGCATATGATAGCATATTCTGTTAGTGCACTTATGCACTAAGAATATGCTATGCAATAGTTAGCGCCGTGAGACGCCTGCACAGCTCACCTCATTGCTTCCTTACATATCTTTTCAGAGCGTCTTTAACTCCTCCAGCGGCCTCGTGGCCCATCTCCATTATCTTTTCTCTGCTCTCCTTGCTGAGGGGACACCATGACTGAAATGTCTGAATTTGTTCTGCAGCCCGTCTTTGCGTGTACTGAGTGAATTGGGCACCTTCAGCGAGATCTAACCAAGCGAAAAGGCCGAGGAAAGCCACAAAATCCCGAATTTCAAGCCTTTTCGCATTAGCCACCGATCCTTTTACCGCTAGGTGGACCCTCAACCCCTCATTTACCTCTCATATCCTTTCAGTTCGGCCTGGGGGTTTTGGGACTTCGCTCATCGATTGTGCCTCCCGCGAAGACCTGTGAACTCAAGCTTGCACAATTTTTTTTGAATAAGGCAAGGAGCCTACAAGCTCGCAGGAGCGATGGATATCCCAAGTGCAAAAAAATTATGTGAGAAGGGTAGTCAAATGGAAAAAACCTTGTGCCAGTTTCGCAGTGGAAAGTGGTATAAAATCATAACGCGCGAAGTTGCTCCAGTGGCATATCCCAGTGATTCCGCCACCAAGACTCCGAATTCATCCCTTCCAGCCAAAAGCGGTGATGACTGAACACGATCGCAAGCGGATGATCTACTTTCTCTTCTGAAACCACACAGTTCCTTAAAAGGAGTCAGCAGACTGGCCCTCCTGAAACGCAACCTTTTGCCAGTTATCCGTGCATTTGGGTTGAGGCTGGAGAGGCCTATTAAAGGCGTTCGCGACGTTCCCTTTGACGTTTTCTCTTCACGGACGAGTCACTTGACAATTTGTCTTCCATACGACAACACCACTACCTATCCTCCTTACCGCGGACCGTACCTTTGAGATGAGACGTGTAGCCAACAAGAACTAGTGAGATAAACCAACAAGTTGTAAAAATCCCCCCCCCCCTCCCCACATTTTAGCAGCGCGGAAGCAGTAAACACTCATGAACAATCGATTAAAAACAGACATGCAGTAAACACAGACAGCCTCCGGCTTTCTCAGAAAAGTTCGAGCCGAAATTACTACCGTGAAATGATACCGTAATCATTCTGTTATAGGAATCAGTATTAGCGAGCGCCGCGCCGAAACTAGCGCTTTATTTTCCAGCAGGTTGGCCTGTCATACTGCAGTACTGCTATTAAAACAGTTAGGTCCCAATGCAGACGCCGCGCAATTGAACAACTTGCAACTCAACATCCCACGCTGATATGTCAATGACCCTATCAGATGTAATGGGAGACAACACGCCTCAGATGAAACAGCTAATCTTGTCAAACTGGCAGTTCTGAAGTTCGAACAGCTATATGAGGATTATGAAGTAGGTAAACAGAGCAGTAAGGATTGAACAGAGTTAAAGAAGAACAGCTCCATGAGTACCAATGATAGTGCATAGTTGTAGCAGAGCTCATGCTATAAATAACAACCACGGTTACTTCCCGCTGGACAAAGATCAACAGCCCTTCTAGCTTATCAACAAGTCTAAAAATAATTTTATCAACAGCCCTTCTAGCTTACTCAACAAGTCTAAAAATAATTTTTATTGCCGCACGCCGCATAGGGTTGATCGGTGCACTTTGATCAGGAGTGAATGGCGGCGCCAAAATAAGCGCCTAATCGCAATAAACAGGCTAACCCCAGCGAGCGGGTTCATATCAGTTGTGGTGACAAATGTTTTTGCGTCATCGCCCAAAGTGAACGTCATTTCCTTCACTTGGGCATCAAAGAACCGCTACAGGCAAACATTCGCAAAAAAAGATTTTGAGACTACGAATAAAATATAAAAATAAAGCAATTAGCAGGTACAACATTTGCACATCCAATGCGCAAGATAGGCAGTAGCTGGGGTGGAACCGTAATCCCATAGGTGGGAAGTACTAATTTCACAGATTTTTGCATCTGACAGCCACAAAAGGATGCTAATTACCCCCGGAGACTGATTCCCAGGAAAACAGGTTCTGGCTGGGCTTCGAAAACCAGGCCGTAAAAGGTAATAGTGACGAATGTCTCAAGGGGTGAAATTATGACGAACAAAATAACTAGTAATATCTGTACTGCTTACCTCGTCTCTGTCACCATGCAGTCCTTCAGCTCCTGCAGGATCACAGGAAACTCGTAATAAGATTGTCGCTAAAACGAACACGATTGTAAACTTCATGGTTAGCTGCAACACTGTGCCTGCGTCCCTTTATATAGCGCTGCTGTAAATAGCTTCTCTGGTGTCTCAAGGCTGGCTCCACCCCCAATGACGAACGGAACGCTAGACGTAAATAGAGCGAATTCACGTGCCTGCGCGATGTCGCTCCGCCCAGATGTGGTCTTTGAAAAATGGCAGCACGTGCGCGTTTTGCAGCATGTTTACTACTACGCGAGTGGTAAACAGGCATTCGCCTTGG